TTCAGCAGACAAAGGGGCCTGGGCCTCTAGTACAGCCCTCGGGTGGACGAACTGAATTAATGAAAAGAAAACAGGACTTAACCATAAATGATGATCAGAACCAATTACTGGTCTTTGCTCAGACCTGCGTGGGAAAAAAGAGATTTTTCTGTAAAACCAGAAGCTCCTGTCATAAGCTATGGAAACAAAACTGCATGGACTTGACGGATATACTGAAGGAAAGCTACTTTCATGCTGGCCCGGGAGGACAGGTACCAACCACCTCTTAAGTGTAAAGTATAAATGCAGTTCTGTCAGGCTCCTTCGATATCCCTTGCACTTAAACCTGCATGTATTTCCTTTTCTCAAGTCAAGTTGCCTCCAACCCAAGAGAAAAAGATGACAGAAAAGCCTCTCCCCACCCCCAGACTATTCCACAGCAAAGAACTGGAACACAGCAGAAAATGTACTTAGCATTTATTTGATCCTTGAATACAGCTGCAACTCAAGCTACAGTTGCAACATCCTCTGCCTCTCTAGCCCTCTGGTCCTTGTTTTCCCACAAGACTTAGTACTGTTTCAACTGCAAAAAGCAAACAGGACCCTTGGCAATCCCCTTCAAACTAAGAACCCCCAAAGACATCAATTGGATGGATCCTCTCCTAGATAGCTATCTACCAGGAAAGCCACCTGCATTTAGAGATGATTCATTACTTGCACAGAGTGATTTATAAAGTACAAGTCTTGGCTCCTAATCCACTGCCAAATGATGTATGCTTCAAAAGACGTTTCCATTCATGTTTTTAGCAACTTCCCCCGTTGCTTAACTAAAAAAGGGCATATTTTACTCTGATGTTGGGACCAGGAAATCTCTGTAGGAGGAAAACATCTGTATAAATCTTTCCTGAAAGGAGCCATGGACAAGAGAAGTAGATGACCTCCAGAGGTCATCTAGTCCAACCCACAGCCTGAAGCAGATTCCTCCCTAGCCAAACCATCCCATACAACCATAATCTAAAGCGATGTAAATAAGATTGTTTTCAACCCTGACACCAGCTAGACCTAACACCCTAACCTGCCACAGGTAAAGCAGGGAGCAAAACAATGTAAGGAGGAAAGTGCAGCTAACCACTGTAAAAGTGTTATTCAATCATTCTGCTAATAGTAAGTCAAAATAGACAGAGCGTCTTTAATTATCTGAATAAAAATATCATCATGAGATCTATTCTCCACTCCCAACAAATGGACCCCAACTCCATTTTCTGAATCCCCACTCACTAACAACCCACTCAAAACTCTTCCCTCGCTCCTCAAGACAGTATTAGTCTAGCAAGGCAAGGACATCCTCATAGTGGTGTCCTGCTCCCAACAATATTCCTTGAAATGTAATCCCAATCTAGTTGTATCTGCTGAGGAATCCCACTTAGCCACTGTATGCCAACCTCTCCACTTTGCCCCACTGGATCTTTCAAATGATGCCACCTTTGCCTTTTATGTTGTTGCCCTTTCCAAAAGTTTAGAGGACACAGAGTCACTGTGAAGTGGCCCCAGCATGCAACTTCTGAACCGTATCTATTA